CTGCAGACGCAGGGATAAACCAGGAGACGCTCCCGTCCCTGCAGATAGCAGGTCTGGGGGAAGCAGTACGGGCTTCCTGGAGGAGGTGACAGCCGATCTGAGGCGGAGATGTGTAGGAGAGCCAGGGCTGGAGGGAAGATGATGTTGCAGGGTGCACAGGCCTGCGCGGCGGCGTGTGCGGGCAAGGGTGGGGCGCCGAGATGTTCGCGATCAGCGAGAAGCTGGGGTCCGGGTCGGGATCCCTGCGCCAGTCATAGCCTGGGGACGTGGAGCTGCTTTCTGTGTCCATGTTGCACGCTCTGTGATCACGGGCAGGGAGATGAGGCGCACATACTGTTCATTCACCCACACTCAGAACTTTACACCTGCCAGGTCAGAGGGGCAGACAAATCGGCGACGTAAACCTGACTGATTTAGAAAGGTGAACTAAGCCTGTGGTGGCCCACAGAAGGGATGAGTCATCGCGGCCGCTAGGGGCCCGCACAAATAGGGCCTCGGCCCGCCCCGCCCTCCTCTGCAAATGAAAGCGCGCCCTCTCTTCGGGGTTGCCGCCGCACCTAGTAAGCTTCGAGTTCGGTCTGTGTGAGCAAAGGCGGGACTCTGAGCTTCCTGTGAGCTGGCCCAACCACAAGCCATCTTGAGAAGGCGGTTTGGGAGCGCAGCATGAGCCGCTAACTGGGCCAGCTTTCAGGTGCCACGGCCCACTGTTAGGTCCGCCCCCTCTCCCCTCAGTCCTTTTCTCCCCAGCAGATGAGAGCTGTTAGCCCCAGGCCTGGAAGCCACCCTATTTTAGCAGCCTCCCGCGCCCCTGACTTCCCCCACAGGGCTGCCCAGGAGACCCAGGGTGTTCCTGCCATTAGCCCTTCAATGTTTTGATCATCCAGTCACTCCACAAGTATATTCCGATCCTGTGCCCGGCCTGAGAGTGCAATGGTGAATCAGGCATGGTGCCAGCCCCAGGGAGGTCCCTGCCTGGTGGGGAGACAAAGCATCAACAGACAGATGAGGAAATGTCAGCCAAAATGTGAGGGACCTACCATGTGTCAGCACTGTTCAAAGCTCAAGGATGCAGTGTAGAACAGGTAAGACGCCTGCCTGCCTTCCTGCAGCATATCCATTAGTTGGAGACAAAGCATGTCACCTGCCATGCAAGTTCTTGTTGGTGGCTGGCAGGAGGACTCGGGTTTTCACCACATAGATCTCTCTGTAGTACTGCTTGAGTGTCTTCATGACATTGCAGCTGGCTTTCCTCAGGACAGTTGGTCTAACAGAGAGCAAGGAAGAAGTTCAAAGTCTTTTCTGACCCATGCATGAAAGTCACACTCCATCATCACTACAGCAGCTCTTGGTTCCACGGGTCAGCCCTGTTCTGTGTGGGAGGGGACCACACAGGAGTGTGACTACCGGGAAGTCAAAGTCCCTGGGAACTGTCTTGCAAGCTGGCTGCCTGGGCCACCTTGTCCTATGATGTGTAAGGAGGAAGAAGGTCAATTTATATAAAGTCCTTTGAAGGCTTTTCAGTACAGCGCACACCCCGAGTAAGTGTTCGCTCTTGTCATGGTCCTTGTTTCTGGCACATACTCATAAGCTCTCCAGCAGGACACTCCACGATCATCCATCCTCATGATCTGTGTGATTTCTGCAGAGCACCATTGTACAGAGGACACCAGGACTTCACACAGGAACAGGGCAAGACGGGCCTCAATTTCTCGCATCTTGGCCATGTGCTCTCGGAGAGCTGGGGTCACCACTCCACTGTTTCTCTCTAGGACCCTGGGCGAGTCCAACCTCCCCCTCCCCATCTTCCTCTCTCTTCAGACTCAGGGTCCTGAGTCCTAACCCAAGGGTTTAAACTTGGTCAGTATTTCTTGTGTCTCCAGTCACTCCCATTCTGCTTGAATGGTTCTCTCCATTTCCACTTGTCTCTTCTGCTGTCCCTCTAGTACCATTGTCCCTCAGTGTCTGAGGGGGCTTGGTCCCAGACTCCAATCTCAGAGACATTAACTTCTATGGATGCTAAAGCCCATTGCAGAAGATGCTGTAGTATTTGTGTATGGCTTTCATGCATCCTCCTGAATACTTTAAACCATTTCTGCGTTACTTAGAATGCCTCATACAATGTAAATACCATGTAAATAGTTGTTCTTATTGTTTAGGGAATAGTGACAGGGAAAAAGTTTGTGCATTCAGTACAGACACAATTTTTCCCTAATATTTTCTCTCCACATTTTGTTGAATTAGAGGATGTGGAACCCATGGATAAGAAGGACTATTTTTCTTAAGTCCTTTCATTTCATGAACTTGGCTTCATCCTAAACAATAATCTCCAGGTTTGATATGCTAATTGCATTTTTCCAATACACATTGAAACAACTGGTGTGGCTGTGCAAGTAAACAATGGACCTCTGCCCCTGCACGTGTGTCTCCTTCCTCCAAGGGCCACCACCCTGAGCACCCTTTTTGTTCTGGGGAAGGGCATAGCGGGCAGCAGGTGACTCAGAGGTAGCCTTGGCCCTGTGTGCCCATGGCCTGTGACATAAAGCCTTCCAGGGAAGGTGCAGCAATTTTCTGCTTGCATTTAGTATGCATTCACTTTTGCTTTTTTTTAAAAAAAAAATCAAAGTGTTACTTGCAGAAAGTTTAGAGAATCTTATTTTTTTAAATCTCACGTCATTGACTCTGCATTCCGGCTCCCACTCTCCAGAGGCAATTGCTGAACGCTTAGCAGAATCCTTTGCTGTGGACCTCCATGTCATTAAGTAACACACTTCCTTCTGGTTCCTGATCTTCAGTTTTAGATGCTATCTTTCAGCTTCCTGCCATGAAGATGATGGTGTGTGAGCTCTCTCTCTCACACACTCCAACATTCCACACCCATGCATACTTAGAGACATATACTCAATGAGTCAAACCCTGGTCTTTTTTCTAATATGATCATGACTAAGTGATTTGAAAGGGTTTTTTTTTTTTTTAATTAGTTTAGCTGGCAAGGTATTTTTCCCATTCTGCAGGTATCTCTCTTCACTCTGTTGGCTGATTCTTTTGCTGTACAGAAGAATCTTTTTAATTTGATGTGATTCTATTTGTTGATTCTTGGTACTATGTCCTGTGCAATCAGGGTTCTGTTCAGAAAGTCCTTGCCTATGCCTATGACTTCAAGAGTATTACCTATTTATCTTCTGGCAGGTTAAGTGTTTCTGCTTTAACATTTAGATCTTTGATCCATTTTGATTTTAGTTTAACACTTGGGTAAGAGATATGGGTCTAGGTTCAGTCTACTGCATGTGGATAGCCAGTTTCCCCAGCACCATTTATTAAAGAGGCTCTTTGCTTCAGCATATGTTTTTGGCTCCTTTGTCAGAGATCAAATAATTGAATGTGCTTGGAATTGTGTCTGCCTCCTCTATTCTGTTCTATTGATCCTCTTATCTGTTTTTGTGCCAGTACCATGCTGTTTTTATCGCAGTTGTTTTATAATATAACTTTATACTTCCCACTTTGTTCTTTTTACCCAGGGTTGCTTTTGCTATTCTCAATCAGTTCTGGTTTCATATGAGTTTTTTTTTTTTCTTTGAGACAGGGTCTTGCTTTGTAGTTCAGGCTGACTTTGAACTCACTGTGTAGCCCAGGTTGGCCTCAAACTCATGGTGATCTGCCTGTCTCAGCCTCCCAAGTGCTGGAATTACAGATGTGGCCTCCATGCCTGGCCAGATTCCATATGAATTTTAGGATTGTTTTCTCCAATTATGTGAAGTATTTTGTATCTTGGTTGAGATTGTGTTAAATCTGTGTATCAGTTTTGGAAGTATGGCCATTTTGACTACATTGTTCTGCCTATCCAGGAATGCGAGATAACATTCCTTTTTTTCTTATTTTTTTCTGATGTCTTCTTCAAAATTTTTTTTTTGTACTGGGGATCAAACTCGGGACCTTGCACTTGCAAGGCAAGTGCAGAGCCACTGAGCTAAATTCTGGGTTTCTTCAATCTTTTTTTCAGAGTACTATAGTTCTCATAATAGGAGTTCTTTCATTTCTTTATTTAGCTTAATTCCCAAGTATGTAATTTTTCTTGAGTTTATTATGAATCATATTTTTTTCCTAATTTCTTTCTCCATGAGATAATCATTGGTGTACAGGAACATTAACAATTTTTGAGTGTTGATATTATATCCTGTTACAATTATGAATTTGGTTATTAATTCTAGGAGTCTTGCAGTGGATTTTTGGGGGTTTTTCTACATAGAGGATCATGTTCATCTGCAAATAATGACAATTTGACTTCTTTTTTTCCTATACATATCCTTTTTATTCTTTATCTTGCCTAATTGTTCTTGCTAATGTTTGGATACTATGTTGAACAGGGCTGATGATAGTGGACATCATTGACTTTTCCTGATTTTAGAGGGAAGCTTTCGGTTTTTCCCCCATTTAATATGATGTTGGGAGTAGGCTTGCCTTAAATGGTTTTTATTAGATTGAAATAAAGATCTTCGAGACCTATTGTCTTCAGTGTTTTTGTCACTGGATGTTGGATTTTGTCAAAGGCTTTTTTCTGCATCTATTGAGATGATCATGTAATTTTTGTCCTTATTTCTGTTTATCTGATGTATTACATTTATTGATTTGCCTGTGCTGAGTCATTCTTGCATCCCTAGAATGAAGCCTACGTGGTCACGATGTATGATCTCTTTGATGATTTGTTGCATTGCTTGCCATTATCTTGTTGAGGATTTTTTGCATCTGTATTCATTAAAGAAATTGGTCTATAGTTCTCTGTTTTGGTTGGATCCTTGTCTGATTTTGGAATCAGGGTAATGTTAGCTCCAAGGGATGACTTTGGGATTGCTGCTTCCTTTTCAATTTCATATAAAAAGGCTGAGGCATATTGGTATGAAAACTTCCCTAAAGTTTTTGTAGAATTCAGCAGTGGATCCATCTAGATCTAGGCTTTTCTTAGTTTGTAGAGTTTTAAAAATTATTATTACTGCTTTTATTTCATTACCTGTCATTGAATTATTCTGGCTTTTTCTCTCTTCTTGTTTCAGTTTGGTAATGCATAAGTATCTAGGAATGTAATTTTTCTGAATTGTCCAATTTATTGGTGAACAGGTTTGCAAAACAGTTGATAATAATCTGGATTTCCACAGGGTCCATTTGTGATTTCATCTTTTTCATTTTTAATTGCATTCATTTAAGAGCTCAAAAAAACTATACCCCAAAAATAAAGCACCCAATCAAAAAATGGTCACGTGAAAGAGACACTTCTCAGAAGTACAAATGGCCAATAAA